GAATTGTGCCTCTGCCTACCAGCATCCATCAGTATTCATCTGGTTAGCATCCTGTCAGTGTGTGAAAGAGTTGAGGGCTGTTTAGAAACTGAAGCAGTATTTGCTGTGTGAGCAAGGAGACAGCGAGGAGCCTGGGCGTGGCTTAGCTCAACTGTTCTGTACTAAAGCTGCTGGGTGCTGTGAAACTAAAACTAAAACTGAAACGGAAACTCCTCTCCTCTGCTTGTGTTTTGCATCTGGAAGAGATTTCTTTTCAGGTGGGAAGAGGGAGTAGAACTCCTTAGCATCAGAGCGTGATAATAATAATAATATAGGAAATATTAATGCTCTGATGGTCATTTCAAAAAATCCTTTCTTAGTGAGCACCTAGAAGCCAAGAGGAAGAAACATGCCAAATTTCAAGATTGTAGGCTTTATGGTTCTGGAGATTTTGTGATGATGCATGAGGGGTATTTTGCTTTTAGATAGATAGATAGATAGATAGATAGATAGATAGATAGATAGATAGATAGATAGATAGATAGATGGATTTGCAAAAGGATCCAGTTGTTTTTTCATGTAAATCCCACAAGAGAGACAGAGAAAATGAGAATTCAGTTACAGCGTGCTCCGAATATGATCAATTGATGCGTGATCTCAATCATCCCCAATAAAAGAATTAACTTTTTTTTTTAAAAAAAAAATCTACTGCTTGCTTTAATTTAGACAACTTCCCCCAATCACCCCCATTTTCAGAGTCATGAGTTTGAAAGACGGTTGCCGATTAAACAAACACCTCCCTTGCCAACAACTAAAATAAAATATAAGGCCGGTGAAGATCTTGGCTTATTAAAGCTTTGGCCAAAGGGTTGCAATGCAATGATCGTTTTTCTTCTTGACGTCCTGCCAATTATTATTTATTACTTGGCTTCAGGCGTAGGAAATCAATTGTTACTCTCAATTTAAAAAAAAAAAAAAAAAACTTACACTGGATCAGGGTAATGGAGCTTTAAATCTGCAAATGATAAATCACTTTTTAAAATATTTATAAAGCAATTAATTGACATTACAGGTACTCCTCGACTTACGGCCACAATTGAGCCCAAAATGTCCATTGCTAAGCAAGACAGTCATTAAATGAGTTTTACCCCGTTCTACGACCTTCCTTGCCACAGTTGTTAAGTGAATCACTGCAGTGGTGATCGTAGTCACATCACACCGTTGTTAAGTGAATCTGGCCTGCCCCTTGGACTTCACTCGTCAGGCGAAAGGGGACTGCATGAATTGCAACCATCGTATATACGAGTCAGTGGGCACGTGTTTGAATTTTGATCAGAAGACCATGGGAATGCTACAGTGGTCGTAAGTATGAAAAAAATGATCCCATTTTTTCCCAGTGCTAAGGTAACTTCAAATAGTCACTAAATGAACTGTTGTAAATTGAGGACTACACACTAATACACGCACACACACACACACTAGGCCCGTGATGGCGAACTTATGGTATGCCTGCCACAGGTGGCACCCAGAGCCATTTTCCCCAGCCAAACTTACCTGCACTGCGCATGCGCGCGCCTCCCAGCTGATTTTCGGCCCGTTTGAGGCAGCTTTCGCCCTCCCAGAAGCTTGAGGGAAGCCTCTGCGACCTCGGGAGGGCAAAAAACGGGCCTTCCGGAAATACTCGAAGGGCCGAAACCGGCCCATTTTCAGCCTTCCAAGGCTGCAGAGGCTTCCCTCAAGCCCCCGGAAGCCGAAAACAGCCTCGCCCAGGTATTTCTGGGAAGGCCCGTTTTTCGCCCTCCCGAGGCTACAGAGGCTTCCCTCAAGCTTCCGGGAGGGTGAAAATGGCCTAAAACAGGCCAAAAATCAGCTGGGTGGGGTGGGGTGGTCAACTATCCTTCCATATTATCTCCTGACTCCATGCTGAGCATTACCCAACACACTGCAAAAAATCGTTGGATCACTCAAGCAAGCAAATAAAAGAACATTTTAGTAACGGCTGGCTAGCAATATATAATCAGTTCTCGCAGTAAATTAGAAGAAGTCCGCATTGCTCAAAGGGAGGGAGCCTGAGAAAACAAGCCACTTATTCAGTCTGGGAAGAAAAACAGACTTTAAAACACACACACACACACACACACACACCTCAACAACTTAACTCTGCAAAGCGTATCTCATCCCTCAAGCATAAATTGGACATCAAAGACACTGATAAGAGGAAAGGAGAGATGAATTGGCTTCGTCAAACCAGAATCCAGGCGTGATTCGAAAACAAACACTCCGATGTTGGAAATTTAGATGGTCCCAGATGGGTTTGGAATAAAATTTTGAAATTAATTACAAGAATCTTTCCCGTTGGGAAAATGTTGCTCTAAATTATTATTTTTTAAAAAAACAAAATACGAAGATTTTGAAATCAATTGTAAGAAACCTTCCTGTGGGAAAAATGCATTTGTTTAAGGGGTGGGTGGGATAAACATGATGAGATTCTGAAAGTTCAGCACTTGGTATGAAGAATTTAATTAAAGAAGAACGCCACTTAAATTCAATCCTCTGAATACAGAATGGAGCAATATGCTCTGATTTTGGGGGAAGTGAAGTCTACTTGGGAATAACACACGGCAAAATGAGGTTAGAGATTGTCTGCTTTGTTATAGACAAACTGGATTTTAAAAAAAGAGGAACAAATTTATGGGACAAGACTGAACTGGGCTGATTAGAAAGTGGATTTCAAAATGATAAGCTATTAAGAATGACAGGGAAAAAGATACTACACTGGATATACAAATGAAATTGCCCGATGTCTTAATAAAAGTGATATACAAATCACAAAACCAGAACTTGAATAACCTTCTTATTTGGGGTAGACAGAAGAGATTGGCTGGGGAATTCTGGGAGTTGAAATCCACCCACCTTCAAGGTTTCAAGGTTTGAGGAATACTGGCCTGACCTATATATAAAGGAGACGAATTCAGGTCTCGGACCTCAGAGAGACTCCATGCAAAGGAGACATACAGTGGTGGGATTCAAATTGTTTTTACTACCTGTTCTATGGGCGTGGCTTGGTGAGCATGGCAGGGGAAGGTTACTGTAAAATCTTCAGTCAGAAGTTCTCTGAACTACTCAAAATTTCCGCTACCGGTTTTCCAGAACTGGTCAGAACCTGCTGAATGCCACCTCTGGGGGCATAGCAGAGAGAAACAAAGATCTAAAGAAGGAGACTCTAAACTTAGCAAACTGAGCCACATTAAAGACTTGTGGACTTCAGCTCCCAGAATTCCCCAGCCAGCCTGGTCTAACACAAGGGTGGCCATC